CCACTAAGGAGAAGGGGTCCCGTATTGCTGGCAAAGATCGTATATTTTCAATAATGTCAGTGAATTTGATATCACGGATATTTGAAGGAAGATTGACGCTCCGGTTGCTAGCTCCAATCCCGATCATATCCCTCTTATAATGATTCTCTTATTGACTATTCCATAGTCTTTCGCGACGGGCGGCGGGATCCCTCGCTAGCCTAGAATCTACGAATTGCCCGATTAGGATCATCTATTCCTATAACGGTCTTGAATTTGAAATAAGTAATCTCGCCATAGGCGAATTTAAGGGGGCGGCATCATCCCTGGAGGCGTATTGGACGATCCAGCGCGTACGAATATGGCTTTTGGCCACCACAGCATCATAGATTATCTGGAAAGCCATGGCGAAGAGATCAAAATCCCCTGACGAGATTCGGTTGTCCAGGAGGATTCTGATGTCGTGTTGAAATACGACATGAGATCCGCTAACTCGTCCTCTCCGATAATAGACTATCCGAATCGGATGATAGCGACTATAGAGATAATTGGCAAGTGCCACGCCATCAGATAAGCTTGCAGGAGACCATCCATGCTCTGAGATATCTCAGGAAGGGTCCCGGAGATTCTTTTCCATCTGGCCTGGCAAAGGCAGAGGCCGAAGCACTCCGCCCTTCGACCAGTCCTCACGCTTCGGAGTCGCGAAGCTCAGGCTCAAAGTCATAGGTTACCCAAGCCTACCCCAAGACCCTACCCCGCAATTTTGACTAAATGCCTATTAAATGAGCTTTATATAGCGACCCACCATCTACCTTGGTGCCGTGAAGCTGCCCACTGTGAGTTGTGGAGGTGGCGCGGGGTGGGGCGCGGCGCGGGGCAGGGCGGGGCGGGCGGAGCGGGTGGGGTGGGTGGGGTGGGCGGGGCGGGGGGTGGTAGAGCGAGCAACCCCGCTTATCACCACCTCCTCATGTAATGCTCATTTAACGCTCATTTAATGCTCATTTAACGCTCATTAAACGCGCTCATTTAATGCTCATTTAATGCTCTGATACGGGGTTGGTTCTTGCAAACGCAACTAGAGCTGGTTTGGGGTGGGCTGGGGTGGGGTGCGGGGTGCGGGGTGGGGTGGGGGGTGGGGTGGGGGGTGGGGCGGGGGGTGATGGGATGTGGGGTGGGGTGGGGGGTGGTGCAGCGCAGGCAGGGCAAAGTAGGGAAGTGCAGAGGGTGGCAGGGGGGCAGGGCAGGCAGGGCAGGGGGGGAGGGCAGACATCGTCTCTCACTAGTGTTCGTTTATTGCTCACCTTTTGCTCCCATAATGCTCACATAATACATTTTTAGTGCCGTTTTAACGATCATTTATCGCTCATTTCTTGAGGAGAGCCGGGGTTGGTCCCCGGGGTTAGTGTGAGCTACCAATGACAAAGACCGTGGAATCAACCCTTAGGGTGAAAGATCGCGGCGGCCAATGGCTCAACTTCAAGTTTTCGCCGAAGTGGTTTTGCCACACTTGGGCAGCTTCGCCGCCAAGCATGTATCCTGGCATGTCGTGCGCGATTTCACGAGTCCCTGCGACCTGGGCCGCTCAACTTTGGAGCTCAGGCCTCAGTTGCCTGGATCTAGATGCGCAGATTGGCATGTCCTGACGCAAACTTGAGGCCACAGCACTTGGTCTACAGATCTCAAGCCCAGTCGTGCTGGGGTTGCTTCGCAGGTTGCGTTTCTCCGCCTGCTACGCTTTCACAGCCTTGACATCCTCGCCACCAAAACTCCCAGCATCAGCTCAACACATCTCAACAAAAGACTGACAGCATCACCATTAATCCGTATGTCCCCTGCTGCCATCCAGGACCGGTCCCTGTCTGCACCGCCGACGAAGGATGGTTCTTGCGGCGCAGTATCTGCTCCTTCTTCAGAAAATAGGCTGCGACTTCCTGCAAACGTCAGGAAAGCTCTCACCTTCAACGAATCCCTTGTAATCTGGTCCGAAGGTTCCGCGGGATGCTTTCCATGTGAAACAACCGATGTATGACGGTGTAAGCAATGTGTAGTTGCAGAACAAGGCTTGTCCCCAAGCGTTTGAGTGTGTGTTGGTGCGCATGCATGCGTTCTATATGCATACATATATAGGTATACACTATACACATATCTGTATATGTATATAGGTATACACATTTTTGCACACCACGGCCTGCGGCGTGGGAGGTGTGCGAATCAAGCGAATGCCGCGTCGGTCAGCAGGCAGCCTTGATACACGCAACAGCACAAGCTCTCAAGGTTCATGAAGGGCAGATCACAGCAAGAGACCTAAGCCTGCGGCTGGCTCCTTGTCCCGTCGCCGAAGAGCACCGAAAAACCCCTGGAGGTCCCATTGTGGGAGGTCTTTTCGATGTGCTGTACGACTCCACAGCCGTGCTCTCTGTGAGTGACCTCTGAAAACTGCATGGAAGTCAAGATTGACGAAGGTGCCGCGGCGTGCAGCCAAGCTGCCAAAGTGCCCTCTGGCGGGGCTCCCATGGGCTCCTGGCAACCATGCAGCGAAGCTCTGAACTTTGCGACACTTGCAATTTGCTGGCCTTCATAAGGCAGCGGCAGCCGGTTACTTGCACGTGCTTGACGAAGACTGTGTCAGTCAGCGAGACTGTGCAGCCACCTCTCCACAGGTCGCATGGACTTTGGCGAGTTCTTTACACAGCTGTCGCGCTTTCGGCTTCTTGCTCCCGGCCTCCTTTGGCTGCCTCAATCTTCAGGAGCACTTCCTTGGAGTTGATGCGCAGGACGATGCCGACAGAGTCAGGCTTCAGCACCTGCCGTGTTCGACCCTTGCAAGAGCGCCGGGTGCTCCACTCATTTTCTGCCAGGTCACTCGGCCGGCCCACAGCACCAGCTCTTTGACAGTCCTTAGGGCATGATCTGAGGCAGAAGAGCAAGAAAGAACCATTTGCAACTCTCTGAGCAGAGAGATGATTCCGCTAGCCGGGGATCGTCACGACATCTCCAATGTTGATGGGCGGGCCATTCCATGCTGAGAGAACCTGAAAGTCCCTAGCTTCGAGACTCGACCTACCCTCTGCAAAGACGGCAATGAAAACGGCCAGTGCCAGGAGGCCGGAAGTCTTCTGGAGCTCCGGAGTTGGATGTGCGTGGGCCTGAGTCAAGCTCTCCCTCCCTTCTCCCAGAAATGAGGGCAACTGTGAAGCCGGATGGCAACCAGCCGCCCTCGCAGAGTTGAAGCCATGCATCCCCCAGGTCGAAGCCCTCCACTACCTCAGTCAGAGTCGGTACTCAGAGCACAAGCTTCATGCTTTCTCCCCCGGCTCTCAGCTGAGATGCAGCGCCTTCCTCGACATGCTCAGAACCTCGGCTCTGGGGCACTGGGGCTTCGAAGCGGAAGGAGCACTACTTGACAACGGCTTGTGATTGCGGCGACTCTACGAAACCCTCTTGTCAGTCAACTTGAGTCCATCAGCTGAGCGACAGCTGCTGTCGTCATCCAGGTGTTGAGGGCTTTCGGGCATCTCCCGGCGCTTTCCGAGCCTGGCTGCAGGGATCTAATTGCAGCACTGATGCGGCTACCTCTCACCCGTACAATATGCCTGTCGGAGCAAGTGCTTGTGCTCGAGCTTATCATTACAGCACTGGCAGCATCTGTGACCACGGCGAGGGGCCGAAAAGATCGGCGCCGCCCCCTCGTGGATTTGAGGTGGCTATAGTTGACGATGTACCTCGACTGCAACATGACTCCGCGTTGCAGCAAATACCTCGAACAAGGCTAGCTCCTAGACTTTCATTTGCTACAACGACCAGATTTGCAAACCTCTGCGAGGTTGAAGCAGTGCTGAATCAAACGTCTGCAGCCAAGCAGCCTTTGCTTTGTGGCGCAGTGCAGGAAAAACTCTGTCATCGTCAGTCCGTGGTGGCCGACGGCCTTTGGGAACCTGGAACACAGCGCCGCTCGGATTGCTAGCAACGAGAATTGGAGGATGGCTGCTCTCTTGGCCAACACCGAACACGGAGGAGCCCGAAGTCCTAAGTCCTACGCCGTCCTACGCCTAAGACGTGAAGATCTCGAGCTCCGCAGGTCCAAGATGTCAAGCCGCTCCAGCTTGACCGCGCTCTCCGACGCAGCCTCAACCCGGCCAAGAGTGCCTGCACCCAGGGGTACCAGTTGGGCCCATACTTCGGTATCTTCGGTTTTGCATCCTGCCTTTAGACAGGCTCCTGTGCTCAAGCTGCAGCGCACGCTTGAGGCACACCTGCGCAGCGCAGTCTAGAAGGGGTCACGATGATCAATCGCTCGAGACCCCACGCCTCATCGCCGGTCGATGGCGGCGTTCGGCCTCTGGACGACAAAGGTAGCTCCACTCCCAGCTTCTCGGAAAGGCGCCTTGGTGGCTGGAGCTTGGCATTTCTATTGTGGCTGGGCAATGCAAAACAAATCCCCTGCCTGGCCGCTGCGTCGTCGCGTCTGCGGCAGGCGAGGTCAAGGGCAGAGGCTCCCTGCCAACTTGTAACATCCGGGCTATGCGGCTACACGTTCCACAGTCGAGCAACGCAGGAGCATGGTGTGCTCACTCCTCATCATCAGGCCGCAGTATGTCTGCAACCTCCACCAGAAAAGGCCAGCAAACAGCTCTCTGCTGATAGGCCAACGAGTCTGGAACTTCAGCCGAGAGACTGAGCAGTCCAGCTTCTCCAACATGAAGGAAACCAACTGGCCAACAACCTTCCAGAACAACGATCAAGGAGAGCTGGATGACTGCCGCGGTTTTGGCTCGCTGAGTCGCAACTTTCCATTGCCATTCCTTTCCACGTCTCCCCTGAAGCAATGCACCCGTTTTGAACCTCGAGGAGCTTCACAACAAGACGGGCCCTTTCTGGGATGTCGCTTCTTAAGGTGGTTGGAGCGGACTGCATGGACCTCAGAAGCCCTGGCAATCCTGTTTGGTTCTCATCAGGCCCTCGAGTATTTTCCGTCTCCGACAAAACAAGGGAGGACCAGCTTTCGCGTTCGGAAACAACTTGCTTCAGGTGTACATGGTGTTCCGGAGTTTCATTCCGAAAACCGGAACGTAAACCCGAAATGGGAGACGGAGGGATTGGAAAAAATGTGGAAGTCGGAATACAAGTGAGAGTGCAGGCAACAGGGAACCGGCTGCCCGACACGCAGGATTGGCATCCCGAAATGCCAAAAACACGTTGCATCTCCGGCAGCAGCGCCTACATTTCGGCCTGCTACATTAGGAGATACTGCAAACCTCAGCTTCTCAAATAACCGTCTGCCCTGAACCCCGAACCCAGCGCTCTAAAATATCCCCCCCCGGCCGCGGGGAAGCCGGCCACTGCTGCCGCATGCAGCGGCAGCCGACCCCTCCGATCCGGCGTGAGGACTGGCAGCGGCGGGGGCCTCATTCTGCGTAAGCGACGACAGCGAGCCAGAACTCACAATGGTCACAGCATGGTTTAAAGAAGCCTCAGAAGTTGCGAAGAAAGTGGTCATGACTATCATACGAATGTTCTCCTCGGTCCTTCTTCAGGCAGTGGTACCGCTAGCGGCTCGTGCTGACTTCTTCCGCACCGCAGCAGCCCACCCGGGTGGGCCGCAAAGCCCAGAAGCGGAGAAACAGTAATTGAAGCCGAGCAGCTCAGAGGAATCGTCGTCCTCCTGCGGCGTCAAACTTGAAGAACTGCGCAGCCAAGAAACACCGAGCAGGCAGATCGCGGCATTCCTCATCATCCAACTTGTTGTAGAAGCCGCGAGGCTTTACGCGATGCCAACCTCAGAGCAACAGCCAAAGGCCAGTAGCAGTTCGCCAGTCCGCTAGGAAAGAATTCACGTGTCAGGCAAGCCGGATCGATAGCGCTCATGGAGCGAGCTTGATGTCCTCCACCTTCTTCAAGCTCGCTCCATGAGCGCTCTGGCTATCGAAAGGCTTCCGCCAGGCAACACCTGTTGAAGCTGCCGTTCTCGTCCAGGAACGTCCGAAGAATTTCTTGCACCTGTCATGGGCAACCCCTGGCCAACAGCGAATTGAAATCCTCTTGCTCTTGAAGTCTTGGCCCATGGCCACCAGGTGCCGGCCGAAAGCAGCTGCGAGGTGCAGAGGCGTCCGCCCCTGCGCCTGCATGGGGCACTGGGGGCACCGGCGCTCAGAGCAGGACGGCTGATGCCACTGATGTGCATGAAGTCACTAAGAACAAGAGGCGAGACTGAGCTGGCTACGTCTGGAGTCGCCAAGCCAAATATGAGCTGCACACCGGCCGGATTTCGGCGTGCTAACCCATAGAACCACCTGAAGACAATTGCAGGCCGTTGATGCCAGGGGAAAGCAGGAGTCTCCGACCCTGGCACTCTCGGGGTAACCCCTTCCGCTTGCAACTGGGGAGCGACTCCGAGCCGTGTATCGCTGCTGTGTGCAGGGCATTCCGGCCACTCTCATCTTGCTGGAGCTTGTCAAAGCCGACGTCTGAAAAACAACCTGCGATGGTGTGCGACCACAGCTCGCTCTCAACAGCCGTTCACATAACCTATCGCTCCGAGCAGCCATTCTGCTGGGCGCAGAGCTGTGCGGGCGTCTTGCCATTCACTCCCTTGGAATTCGGATCTGCTCGGTGCTCGATGAGGGCCATGACCACCTAGTATCCGGCTCAAGTGCCGAAGGAGGCTTCCACTTACACGTCCCCAAGACATCGCTCTATGCAGATCCGTTCACAGAAACGTGCTTGTAGCGGCTGGCCAAGTGGATCGGCAACCATCCATCCTGCCGAGCATTCCCCATTACACTCTGGAAGCAACAAGACTTTAAGCAGTCAGTCCATGAACGAGCCATTTCACAGAATACATGAATACAGGATGCCGACTCCTTCTGTGGATGGTGGACGTTGCTCCTGTCATCGAATAAAGAGGGTGCACCCTTGAAGGTTTTTGGCTAACTGTTGGCTCCAGTCCAGTCAAAAATTTCGCCTCAAACCTTCGACTCCGGCCAAGACCATGCCAAGACCCTTTGCGTACAGCCCTGCCAGGGTGTGGTGAAACCGTGCAACCCTTATCCTCGGCTCCTGAGCTTGATCAGTGCCTCAACGGCTTCCTGCCCAGAGCTACGTCTTGAAACGGCTCCTACCGCTTCGACCATTCGTCACTTTGCTTTTGCAGCTGTTCTTGTTATCGGCCTCATAGACACACTCATTACCACCATGATTCGAATCACTAGTCCTCATCATCGTCTACGCGACTAGCATCACTGGCATCACAATCAGCATCATCATCATGCCACCACAACTGCTGCACTCCTGCGACTGCAGTTGCTGCTGTTGTGATGCTGCCCTGCGACGCTTCTATGCCAGTATCCAACTTGCGCGACTGCTTGATTGTCGACCGTGTTCCAAAGGTGTCGTTGTGTGCGGCAGCGAAGCCATGTGTAGCAGTAGAGCAGAATGCCGCATCACACGCTGTAGCGAAACGCGGAACCGAACACACAATGGGTTGTAGTCTTGCGATGATATCTTGCGACTACATGTCTCCCTTGATGCTTCTCAATTTACTTCAATGACCAAGGGACGGCCAGGACAGTAGCTCGACAGCTTCGGAACTTGAGGATGAAGCGGAAACAACAGCCGCTGATGCAAGCACCGCTCTTGCCTTCTTCCCTTCTATGGCGGCGCAGTGCAGAGGATGTCGTCCATACCCTCAGATCGCTGACAGGCAGTGGACCGTCGCTACAACAATGGATTCCGTGCTCCGGCTCCCGGCAAGAACCCTCAGAGGTGACGGTCTTCAGGAGATCGCATTCCAACTCCGGCATCTGCAGCGCTTGGGCTCGAGCGCGTCGCAGCGGCAACATCAGCATGCAGTCCGACCAGTTGTCGAACAACCTGAGTCACCCTGTGAAATTCCCCCCAAATGTTTAAGCCGCCCAGAGACCCCAGTTGAGCGTGCATCAGAGTGCCATGTATATCAGTGTACACATTCTAATGCATGAGCACAAAAACGAAGGACAGAAAATTAGATTCATGCACATATTCAGAGAATGTCCAAGGAAGTATAGAGCTTAGAGAACAGAAGCAGAAAGACAAAATTCAGCCAATGCGGACTGATAAGAACTGGCGAGCACTTGCAGGGGCGCAAGAATAGTTTGAAGGACAGCAGAAGCAGCAGCAGCAGCAGCAGCAAGACCCGTAACAGCCCGTGACAATTGTAGTGACTTCGAACACTGCTTTTCATGATACGATTCACAGAACTTCAAGCACAACAATGATGATCATAACAGGCTGCAAATCCATTCGACACACACACGAAGCTTTGCCTGAAAGACAACACATCAGCATAATTATGGCGGAAAACAAGCAGCAGAAGCAACTTCAGCGGGTTCGAATAAAAGCGCTAGGGCAAAAACTTCAAAAAACGCCAAGTCTTCATCCGGCACATCCCGAAAACAAAACTCTGCGATGAACGAAACCCTTTCCATAGTTGCAGTAATATGTGGAGGAAAGGAAACGAGCATTTCTCCACGCCCACATTGAGCCTGTTGCATGCTGAGGCCACGTCCGCCGTTTTGCCGAAGTGCGCCGCCCAATGTAATGCCGTCATGCCGCCCTGCGCTGCGCTCAAGCTTTTGCTCTCCAAAGGTCCCGAATTTTGGAAGTTGGTGCTTGGAGCCTTTGCGGAGGCGACCTCCGGATTCAACTGTGCCGTTTGGTGTTCTTTGCTCAGGCCCTGACTTTTTCGGGAGTGGGGATCTTAGTTTCGGAGCCTGTGTGCTTGGCCAGCAAAAACACGTGACCCGTGGGATTTTGCCTTCTCCGTATTGGTCAGGTCCACGCGGCGCTCGGCCATGGCAAAAACGACGTCAAAGTGTCCGAACCTTTGGCAGGAGCATCGCGTCGCATCGCAGGCGCGGGCTCGATTTGGGTCCGCGACCTGCAAGCAAGCGCGAAGGGTGTGGAGCCGGTGGCCTGGATCGTCACAGAAACGCACATGATCACAACTGCTCCGCGATTTACGATGATCGGTCGGTGCTTCGAAGGGGAAACATGGTGTCTGCACAACTTGTGGGGCAAGGCGCATCAGCAGCATTGATATCGGCCCCGCCCTCCTCCACCAGCTTCGTGCACAAGCTGGCGTGCCCCCGCCGAGCCTTTGCGAACACCGTTCGAGCATCAACAATTCCACATGCACCATCTTTCCATACTGTGTAGCAAGAAGCACACGACCAATATGTAAGTTTCGTCTGCAGAATCCTGGAGCCGAACCACAGAAACTTCTTTCAGACTGGTTCTAATAAACCCAAGTTCCATCCTCACAGAAACTGTTGACTCGATCCATCTAAACTCACGGCTTTCAGGCACGAGCCCGGCTGTGCCTTCGCGCAGATGACAGGAAGTGCACTAATCGTACGGCCGTTGCATCATAAGGCTGCGTTTTGTCTCGAATCTAATTTGATGACGCGTCGCGGCAAGGTGAAGCGCAGTTCGTTGGTGGCTGCAGCGCGCTTCCACATCACCTTGGCTACAAGGGATCCGTATGACGAGTTTTGCTCTCGTGTGAAACTTCTTCTGCTGCGGCTTCACAGGGCCCAAACAGGGGCCCCTCTTATGGTACCCTAAATAGTAGGATCCTGATTATAAGGACCCCCTTAGAGGGATGACCCTCGGACTCAGACTTTGGCCGGGAACTGCTGGCCTGACTGGACCCTATTCGAGATGCAGTGCTGTGCTTTCCTGCTTCGGCTGCAAAGGCCGCGATAGCCAGGTGTGCAATTTCGACGACATTGGGAGCTGGAGGCGGGGATACTGATTCCCTGCAGGCGGACAGACCATGTGCCTTGGAAAACCAGAAAAAAACTAACCAACGTTCCTGTCCCAAGTTAGTAAGAACAACTGCAATGAACCTCGCCACCTACATCTAAGGAAGCCAAACTCATGATTCCATGTAGTCACTAGGTACTAGGTCCGTAGCTTCATCCCGGCGACTCTTCATCTCCAGCAGCTTCCCGATGTTCCGGAGCTTGCCCCACTGCGCTGCAAGATGCAGAGGCACTTTCTGGCCCACCTGCAAGGGTGCCGCAGACTCTGGACCCGACCTACTTGTTGATCCGAGACCCTAGTCAAAGAGTGCACTCGCCAGAGAGGCCGAGCGGCATCCGTCTCGAGTAGATTGACGCCCCAGCCGGCTAGGTCCTGACAGCATCTGGCATCTGAGAGCATTTCGCTCAATCGATCATTCCCTGAATCAGAAATCACACCTGTCGAAGCAGCATTCGACTTTTACTAGTGTCCTCCAGGAGGTCGGGGCTTGCATCGGCGGCCGCTGCGATGTGCAACGCATTGCGGCGGCTACGGAGGTCCTGCCCACTCCACGATCCAAGCCCCAAGCCCGCCTATTTGTCATAAGGTATTGGCCACTGTTGGCTTTAGAGTCCTGGCGATGGATGTCGGCACCACCCTCGCGGAGTGCGCGAGCGCAGTCATCGTGGCCACGTCTGGAGCAGGCTGCACAAGCTCAACCATCCGGGTCTCTCTCGGCTCCAGTCTCCTGCTGGGCTCCCTCAGCCCGCCTGATTGCCCAGTGGAATGCCGTCCACCCGGCCCCGTCGCGTTCGTCAGGCGGGCTTCTGCTCTCCTACAGCTTGCTGCAATCAGTGCTATCTGTGATGACACGTCCACAACTCGGGTGCGTCCAGCCCTAAACGACGAAGGCAAGCATTGCCAATACTTGCTGAACAAGCAAGCATGGACAATGAACAACCGTGAGGAATGAAAGTTCATCGTCGGTGATCTCAGTTGTTTCATCTCTCCCGTCCAGAAGCAGCGCGGTCATCTTTGCATGCCCATTCAGCGCCGCCCAGTGCAGCGATGTGCGGCCAAACCTTGGGACCGGAGGCATGCTGACAGCTGCGGACCCTTGGGTACAACAATGCCAAGCTTTCTCATATCCTGAAGAGCCACACGGTCGTGGCAGCTACGTCGGCACCGAGTCCTGCAAGGACGACCATCTTCGACACACAGCAGGAGCTGGCGACAGCTCTGCAAGTAGGGCATGACTCCAAGAAGCCCCTGTCCTAGCAGAGCTTTCACGGCCTCTTCGTGCCCGAACCTGTGCCGCAGACTGCAGACCGCCGAGGCAGGGCTTCTGAATGCCACGGCCCACCTGGCGGCCAGGTGCAGCGGGCGAGTGCCATCGGAATCGCCCGTCTCCAGGAAGCCCAACGCTGCCAGGTCCTGCAAGGAAGACACAAGAAACATCAAGAGGCCGCAAGGAGCAATGGTGAGAGTGGCCTGCAAAGGACCCACGTGATTCCACTGTGCCGCCAGGTGGAGTGGCGTCCGCTTGTTGCCGTGCTCCAGTATAGCCCTGAACTGCACATCACCGCATGGTCATGACAGAAACCATGCAGTTGCACGAAGTGCACTAACCACGCCTCTTCTGCAGCAAGAAGTTCACGGCTTCAGTGCTGCCGGACAGGACCGCGAGATCCTGAGAATGTGAGCAGACAGCTCTGGCACCGTTCCTCCACCACTGCAGTGGAACTGTGCTGGGATTTACTGAGCACCTTCCAGCGAAGGCAGTTAGGCCTCTGGATTCGAACAAGCCCAGTGTCCAGGCAACTGTGCTGTTGCTTGTCCAGCTCCTGAGACGCACCGCGCGCATCACCGGGCAAGCCAGTCTAGTCTGGAAGCAGCTCCATGGCTTTCACTGTGATGCTCGGAGCTCCTGGACCAGAGCTCCACCCGCATAGAGAGGAAGCAAAGCGGCCAAGGTCTCTGCACAGCCTGCAACGTGTAAGATCAACACAGTAGATGGTCTGTTTTTAATACATGTATATATATATATATATATGCAAACAACCCCCCCGAAGAACTACCGCGGAGGTGCCACGATAGCGCCACCAATCCTATGTTAGATTTTGAAGTTCCGAGGGGACAGCATATGTATATCGGCATCCGCCTTCATTCTCAATTCTTGTGACCCTTCCCACAGGTACTCTGACAGATGCTTTCCCCAATGATGAAAGTCATTTCTGTCGGAATACCTGAAACTTAATATGGGCCCGAGCATTAACTCTTAACGTAGCCTTCACCATAGTCTCAGGCCCAAGCCCCAGCAATACGTATGAATGACCGTGAGCACTGACTGACTCTTATTCCCAAACAATGACTACCCTTACCGGTAAACTTTACATTGGCGCCAAGGGTGACAGTAGTATTCCATTTCATGTTCACCCAAAATGTTGCCTTATAGACTCACGTCTTATTTCGTAAGGATCAACATACTATGTCCACTTGCACCCACTGCGTATACATCCCCATATCAACTCTCATGCCGAACTGAAGCTTAATACAACAACATACATCAGCTTGACTGACCCCTTGATAGTAAGGATATTCCAATCCCCCAACATGGACCTTACTCGCAAACTTAATATTTCCCATAAGCTGTGCCCTGTACCGGATACCTCCTTCAACTGCAACCCAAATAATGGCCTTAGCAAAAACCCCGACCATTGGCCTCATCAACAGGTTAGTTCATCCAGATGTAGCTGCGAGTTCCCGTCAAAGTCCCCTAAGTTAAAGTCATGGCATCCCCATTACTAGTTACTGTTGATATCAATACATGTAAGCTAAATACTACCCAGACATTTGCTTCAACGGTTGCCCGTCAAATTCATGCTATTTTTACACTACACAAAACGAATTCCATTAAGAACCACGATCCCTTTTCTCGCTCTGGCGTTCCCCAAATGATCGCCCTTACATTTTTAGGGATGATACCAGCATTTGCTTGTTTTACCTCAACATCGTATATGGCGCCCCCTCTCTCACTATAGTATATGATTCATGTCAGACTTGCTGTCGGACTTGCCCGTATGCGTGTATGTACATTTATGTGTCTATATACACATGCTAACCCTCAACATAGTGACGAGGATCATTGACAGACTCCTGATTCCCAACAACCTAAACCCCATCCCTATCCTTGTCATTCGCCCTTATGTCAATGGTGACCGTAAACTCGCCCTGACAGCAGCCCTAAGGCCATCGATAGAACATAATCTGACCGCGATGGCTTTTATTTGATTTTCTAAACTAGTCAGCTAGAAGACATCGAACGGTAGCTGTGATAACCAACTCTCTGTCGACCCCAAATCTGATCCGAAAAGTCCAGTAATTTATTTAAGCTGAGCGGAATCGCGGCCCAATAGTAATGATACTGGAACCCTATTGGCAGCACTTATTTGTAACGCGCGCATACAAATGAAATGCGCACTCCTTGCTAGAAAACCTTGCTTCTGGAGTGAAAACCTTTTTTTCCTACGAAATAGATAGTTTTGGGCCGAACAACCAACTTTTTCCTAGGGAAAAGTTTTGGATGGAAAATCAACTTTTTCCTACGAAAAACCAAAACAAACACCTTTTGGGAAACTATGCGGCCAAACTTCAGAAAGATTGTTTTTTTGGTTTTCCCTAGGAAAAAGATGGTTTTGGGTGGAAAACCAATTTTTTTCCTAGGATAATGATGGTTTTGGAGCGGAAAACCATCTTGGGATGGAAAACCAACTTTTTCCTAGGAAAAAGATGGTTTGGATTGGAAAACCATCTTTTTTGTAGGAAAAAGATGGTTTTGGGAGGGAAAACCATTTTTTCCTAGGAAAAACAAAAAAAGCAATCTTTTTGAATCCGGCCGCATAATTTCCCAAAAGATTGCTTCTTTGGCTTTGCTTGTTCCTGGGAAAATGTTGATTTTTCACTCCAAAACCATTTTTTCCCTGTGCAAGAGTTGGTTTTACCATCGAAACCCAACCTTTTTCTAGGAAAACCAAAAAAACATCTTTTTGGAGTCCAGACGTACAGTTGTTTATCGAAAGATTTGATTGGAAGAGTACAGTGTTGCCGTTAAGTGTGTGCTCACGTCGATCTTGAACCAGTTGCTTGGCGGGTGGTTTGTCAATTGAAGAGTACAGTGTTGCGGTCGAGGGCGTGCTCACGTCGAACCTGAACGAGATGTTTAGCACGTTCTGTTGAAATGTGTGCTTGGTTTTGGCAGTTGTTGGAAGATACGGAATCCGGACCTGCCGGAAAAGCTGGCTGAACACGGTATTTACGATACAACACGAGGGTCGGTAGTTTTTTTTTGTGGGGGGTTCACCATATATATATATATATATATATATTATAAACATTTATGCTCAGATCTGAAGGCTGCGTCAGCTGCCCGCCTGATTCGGCTGCGCGGTGCAGCGGGAGCCGACCAAACTTGTCGCGATGCTTGGCGTGGCTCGGCCAGTGCTGAACCTCACGGGGTCTAAGAGTCTAGGATTGAGAGCAGAACCGGGCAGGTTAGGTTTTTGAGGCTGGGAGATGCATTTTTCAGTCGAATGCCGGGCGTCCACCAGCTGAAGGGCTTCTAGGTCTCGGCAGTACCGTGCCGCCAGATGCAAAGCCTGGAAAATGGCGACCGCGGCTGTTTTGAGTCCTTGACCGACACACTCGTCGCGCCTTCTGGCCAAGTTCATCTTCGCGATCCATGACTTCGTCCTTGAGTCCTTCGACTTGTACCACACGCTTCCAGTCCGAGTCGTGGGGCGCAGTCAGAAGAGTGTCCTCGAACCTCATCCTTCTTCTGCTCGCGCTCCCTGGAATTGCATCAAACATAGCTCGTTCTGAAGCAAGCTTCCCATCGGCTCCGTACGCAGTAAGCTGGCCGGGTGGGCTGGTAACTGGCACCGTTCCTCATCATGACCTGCAACTCCTGAAACGCTGCAGTGGCCTTCTCTGACCGCCTCGGGGGCTCTTGAATCCAGAAGCTACGCCGCCCTGTGTCAAGCAATGAGCCCCCGACACTTTGTCTTCGACACTTTCTTGCTGTAGGATCTCCATGTCGCCCTCCTCGAGATGCTCATACCCGATCGGTGTTCTGTGGTTGAAATCGAAGACTAGGGCCAGTGGCTAGGGAAAAAACTAGAGCAGCAAAAAAATCCTCGGCAGGCTCCTGCGCCGCTCGATGCAAGACCGTTCGCTGTGGCGACGAATCCGTCGCAGGCCGCCTGGCGGAACGCGCCAAGGAGTCGAGTCGATCGTAGACTTCGAAACAAAAGCTGGCAGGCAAGCGCTCAACTGCTCAACCCTTAGAACTTTGCGCTTTGTCGAAATCAGAGTCATAACAACAAAAACACGCTTCTCCTCCGTGATGCCGGTTTTCAAACTTGCGGAATCTCCCTCACTATGTTCAGTGATCATCCGACTCAGACTTTCCTTGTTGTAGATCCAGGGTCCAGGCGAAGGACTACTTGTGTACATTCGGCAGCGATAAGCAAGCCCAAGACAGAGTTGCTCTCAAGCTCACACAGCGCGACCACGACTGCGCCTAGATGGAAAACGGATCTACAACTGTGACTGCGCTACGGTGCTACTAGTACTTGTGGTTCGGTCTGTGGCTTTACATGCGTGCAAGTGTCAGCTCTTGCGTCAACAGAACCGTTCTGACTTCGGTAGCACCCCGTACACGGAACAAGCCAAGGAGCACAGTGAGACCCTGAAGTGCGAGAAACCCGCCCTACTGGATGCCGGCATCCTCTCTGGCCTTCTCTCGCGGCGGTTGCTGTTTGGGTTCGTCCCCGGCTGGAGCCAGTAAACCTCTCGTACTGCTTCACGATGCCTGGGACGAGGACACGCGGAGCATCGCAACCGAGGCGAACCCTCGCAAGTTCTGCGGCCTCATCGTTCAGGAATGTTCAGGAACTGAGATATGGCAAGGTGCAGCTGCAACAGCTTGAAGTTCAAGCGCCAATTCCGCGAGTAGAGTGCGTAACCTGCCTGTCAGGCTCCCGTGCCGTGGATTAGGGGGTATGTTGCGTGTGGGGTGCCCATGTTAAGCACCGCAGTCTTTCTCAAGGCTTCAGAGATGAACCCACCCCAAGTCCATGGATGAGCCTTGCGCAGCACCTCGAACAAGCTGGCTTGCACCGCCAAGGCAAACCTTGAGCTTCTCGGTCTGGTTGCTCAGAGGCTCAGGGGCTTGGGGTGAGTCTGCAGAGATTTCACTTAGACTTCAGGCAGAAGGCTGCTCAACCCCCACGGCATTCGAGACCTCGCTGATGATGGTGTCGCGATCCTTCCAGGCGTTACGAATGAGCGTCCAGGCGATCCGGAAAGAAGTCCGCAGCCCCACGTGCGTATGCTTTTGCTCTACGAATCACAACGGGCGCTTTGTCGTCTTATAAAGTTTTGGGCTGTTGCATCTCACATGCACTATGATACTATGATGATTCTCCGCATCCCGACGGCCTGCCCGAGAAGTGAGAAAGCACGCGAAAGATATCCTACCCGAACCCGGCTCGGCCTGCAAGTTGCTGGCAGCCGCATGCCTTCATTGCTGCAGGTCTGTGGATTTCGGGATGAAGAGATCCGACGGTTTCGGAAGTCCTCTCTGTAATTATGGGTTCATTGGTATGCGGTTTGGGGTTCGGGCCTATTCCCCCCCGCCCCCCCGCCCCCTTGTTACCTTGGACCCGAGGATGCCCAAGGCCCAGCTCTTTGAAAGGCTCTCTCAAGGAGCCCCACAAATCCTCTGGTGATCCTTCAAGGAGCCCTTCTAGGAACCCCTAGTAAAAAACCGTAGTAGCCCCTTCACTTTACTAAACTATATTATACTATGCTATACTATATAATACTATATAATACTATACTTTCCTATGTAAGGCTATACTAAAGCAAAAGGCCCTCCTCTGACTCCGAGGGGCTGCGGCCGCAGGTCCGAGAGGCGCTCCGCCAGCGACAGGAGCGAGGCAGCCAGCCGCGGGCTCTCTCGCACCCGCCTAAAGATGAGTTTAGGGTTTAAAAGGTTTAGGGGTTTATAGAAGTTTAGGGGTTTATAGGGTTTAGGGGTTTAGAGGGTTTAGGGGTTTAGGGGTTTAGGGGTTTAGGGGTTTAGGGGTTTCAGGGTTTTGCTCGTTAGTGATAACATAGAGTTCTGCAAGTGAATGAGCCGATGTGTCTCAAGACTTTTCGGCTCAGTTGAAGTTTGGTATCAGGGACATTGCCATAATGGCTCGCTCTGTGGTTGCCCTCGCTGGTCACTGTTTGGTGGCCGCGACTCTCGTTGAGAGTTGGCTCCCATGGTGGTCCTCGGGGAACCTCACCGAGCCGAGCTCTCCCCCATTAGGCGGACCGCCCCCAGGCGAACCGCCTAATGGACCCACTTCTTCCGGAACTATGTCAGTGTGGTGGAGCGAATGGAGTTTCAAGGTCCTCTTCGGGTGGGCCAATGTGTCGGTGTTCTCCACCCCTGAGCAGTTGGGGACCTTGGGAACCGATGGAGGTTGGGCCTTGTACTTCCTGGACAAAGCCGGTGTTCTTTGCTTTGGACGTTTCTGGCCGATCGCTGGTTGGACTACCCTTGCCGTGCTCCTGACTTTGGTGATAACCGCCCTGGCGTGGTCACTAAAGACATGTGAGAGATGCCTTTGCTGCGACTTCTGCTGTTGTCGACGGGGGCGTGGTTCTCGAAGGGCTGGAGTGGATCCTGCTCTTCAGCATCTTCCTGAGACTCCTGCCCCTCAGGCGTACGCTACCGTCTCGATGGTCGGCCCTGGTGGATCCGCCCCGGTGGACTTTGAGTACTACCAGAGACAGGTACGAGGTCGAGGTGCTGGACGACGACCTCATGACTTGGTCCTTCGCTTTGATCAAGGCGCGATTCGTCTACAACCTGATTGGTCACAGCGAACCCGAGTCGACCGGCATGGGTTGTGGATCAAGCCCGGTCAAGTCCTGGGTGTCACCGCCCGCAGCCTGAGGGAGAAGGTTGAGAGAGCCTCGCAGATTCACCTTTGTCGCACAGAAGACTGCCAACAGGAAGGAGATCTCCACTGCAAGGCTTATGCGGCCATAGATGCTGATGCAGTCATTGATCTGGGAGCTTGCGGACGTCTGAACAGCTGGCGAGTACTTGTTCTCTGCTGGCGAGGAGCTCGGGCACTTCGGCGAGGTCTTGGACGGTGCTGGCGCTGCTGCTCTTGCCGAAGATCTACTGAGGCGCCACGCCAAATTCGAGACCATGGGGTGACCCGCCCTCTGGACCCTGATTCCGAATCGGAGGCTGAGGTCGTGTCCGACCCATGTGAAGCCGTGTTGGTAGGGCTGGAGCTCCAGGGGAAGCCCCGAGCTTTGGCTCCCGAGGGCTGTGAAGATAAGGCTGCAAGCGAGCCCACTCGATTGCTGGTTGATGACCTTCAGCTTTCTGACTTAGGGGGAAGGGAGTGTGCTCGCCTCTGCAACCATCACAGTCAGCTATACATGCTTTCTTGCCAAGGGAGGAAGTGCAGTGTCTTATCTTGCTTTATAAGACCTACGGAGCTCATAAGGGGACCCCCCTCTGCAAGAAGCATTTGTCAGAGAGCGGTCGCTCTCAGAGTCCGGCACCCCGGAGTTCGGGTCCCAAACCTGAGGAGTCCCTCCTCCATTCCATACGCAGGGCCCAATCTGCCGATGCCCAACGTGATACCGGATCCATCCGTGCTGTCCGTTTTTGTGACCAGGCCTCGCCTGGGCCGAGTCCCAGGAATGTAGGGATCGCCTCCGAGTACGAGCCTCCTTCAAAGAACGAGCGCTCCGCGCATCCCAAAGCAGGTGCGCCATTGCTCATTCGCATTCGCCCATTTTTTGGAACAGGAGTGGCGGCAAGCTGGTATCTGTTCCTTGGGGAAGTTGAGGGCATTGCCGAGGACAGCCGGCGTACCGAACGGGCAGCCGTGAAAATTCGTTCTTTGGGTTTAAGGCTCAGCCTACCGTGGCATTGCCTTGGCGATCCGCCCAGGACGGATTCTTCCAGTCGATATCCAAAAGCTTGGCTACAGGAGTTTCTCTACTCATCTCCCTCGGATTTGGAAGCTCGAGGCCTGTCCGTTCAAGCAGTGCAGCTGGCCGCTCATGCCTGGGATTGGCTGCAGGACTGGGACGGTAAAAGGGTCAAAGGGGAAGGTGAACCACCCTCTAGCCTCCGCCCAGAGGATCTGAGGCGACTCCTGACGGATCCGCAAATGGTCCTGCTCAGACATGATGAAGGTCGAGTCCTTACGGTCTCCGCTGCCTCGAAAGAAAGCGAGTTTGGAACACCCCCTCGCCCCCCCACTGTCACTGTTTCGGAAGTCATCCCGAATGACGGGATAGATGAAGGTGTACCACCCGAAGTGGACCCTGTTTTGCTCCTGGAGTCCTTTAGGGACGCTAGGGCTTCGGGCACATCCGTCAGCGAGGCAATCACTTTGGTCGCCACCGCATTCGGGGTGAGCCCTGAAGTTGTGCAGTTGGGGGTCGTTGACGCCCCAAAGTTCGAACCTGCTCCGGCAGAGGACCCCCTATCCTGGGCTAGAAGGTCCCCTTTGGAGGTCCGTCCGCCCCCACTTCCTCCTCCTCCTCTCCCCCGGGACTTGCGCAAAGCTCAGGCCTGGTAGTCAGTCAGGGCAACGCTTCAGGGAACCAGCTCCTCAGCCTGGGGAGCACTCCCCTTACGGTAACGAGCCAGCTTTTCCCTTCCGTCGCGGCAAGCCACGGGCAAGCGGGCCTTCAGGCCCTCGGGCAAGAAGGCTGCACCGCCCTCCCCGACTTAGGCCTAGGCCAGGGACTCCTCAGGAAGGCAGGAGCGGCCTTCGGAGAGCAGCTTGGTCCTGGTCCGACCACCTTAGCCACTGACCGGATTATCCATGCCATCGATGGGCTTCGGAAGGTCCAGGACGAAGATAAAACCGGGGCCAAAGGTCAGGTTAGCTCCTTGAAAGACGGGGAGAAGATGGATGTCTTTCTGGCCAGGGGTTGTGGACAACTGTCCGTTGAGCTTTGCAAAGGTGTCTACGGAAAGGAACTCTTCCATAGCATCAAACGGGCGGGCCTCCACGCCAAGCATGAGTTAGGCCTGATTAAGTGGCCCGTTCTCATCACCAATCGCGTCGCTCTTGCTGTGTCGGGTCTATGGTGGGGGGGTACCGAATCGTTCACGCTGCAGGCTTCTGATTGTGTTACCGCACGGGTCGAGCAGCTGGAGAACTGGAGTCCTCCCACGGAACACAAAATTGAAGCTCGCTCAAAGCCCCCCAGCACGTTTCTTACGTGGCTGCGGCACGCTGAGAATGCTGTCAAAGTGTTTGGCAGTGCATATGGGCTGGAGCACGTGCAAGAGCGTATGAAGTTCCTTCAGGCTCTCCGGGAAGCCCACGAGGAGGACGAGAATGCTTTTCCTTTCACCTACTGCGTGCAGCTCTTCGAGGAAATGACCGCCGTCTGGTGCGAGGAAGTGCGTGAGAAACGCCGCATTCTCTGCTCGAGACTGGGGACCGAGAACCCACGGCTTGAGGACCTCAAGCTGTTGGCTCTTTCCCCGGGAGCAGATGGGCTCCCGAACTTTCAGTTCCCCAGGGTGTGGGATCTAGGTGACCCACGAGGTTATTATCAGAGGGTTGTTCTCCCGAGACAGAAGAAAGCCATGGCCAGGCTTCTCAATAAGCAGCTCCACGAGCATGTCACCCGAGAGCGCAAACCTGACCACAGGAAGACTGCTGGACCCACTGATTCTGATCCTCCTGGCGTTCCGCCCGACGAGTCTGATAAGGCTGGGAAAGGTCCCAAGCTCACCCTCAAACCGGAGCCCCTTAAGACTGGTGAAGGAAGCAAGGCCTACCCGGCTGGGAAGAGGCTCACCCCCACGGAAGTGAAGCGGTCTGTGGCCCACGCCCCTCAGTGTTCCAAGACCAAGAAGCCTATTTGCTGGGATGCGGCGTGTCATATCGGATGTCAGCGCACTGCCTGCCCGCATGCTCATGAGCCCCTCCCACCACTTGCGAAGCTTGACTACACTGTCGCCATGCAAGTGCTGCGACGAGGTGGGCTAAGGTCAACCCCAACGAAGTTGATGGGAGACTGTCTCAGCTGAGAGCGCAAGCGAAAGAAGAGCAGGCCGCAAAGATTGCTCCAGGTGACACCGCCCGAGGGAAAGCGAAAGCCAAGCCTAAGGCCAAGGACAAGGCTGGGTGGGCAGTTCCTGAGGACTACCAAGGCCCGGTCACCGCGACCGCGATGGAGACCGAGTTGGGAGAACTGGCGCAGGGTCCGGATTATGCGCGGCACCAGAGTTTCTCGACCACAGCAGAACCGTCTTCGGTCCAAAGCACCGATGAAGAGGCCTCCCGGCGCCGTGCTCTGTACGAGACAATCGTCTCGTCAGGAGTCCTCCTCCCGTTGAAGGGCTGCAGTGACCACTTGCACTCTCATGTGGCCGCCCATTTTGTGAACGGTACGATGGCGCAGAAGCAGTTGGACCTCCCGACCATTTTGGCTCAGGCGGTTGATTACGGACACCCCCAGTTGGCTGAAGAGGCTCAGAGCTACCTGGAGTCTCTCGGAGGTAAGGCAGGTCTCCCACCCCCTCGACCAGAAGCTCAGTTTGAGGCCTTGACTTGGGATAACGAGGTGGGAAAAACCCAGCTAGTCTTTGAGGACCCTCGGTGGGAAGGCGTTCCGCCCTTGCCAGTGGTGGACGTACAGGACAAGCTCGAGCTTAATGACGGTTTGCTTGCCTTAATGACCCCGTCTTCAGGGACAGTTGAATCGAGGCAGTGCCTATGCCTGCATGTCGCTTTAGCTTACACGCATGATTTGCAGACCTGCCAAACCACTGCCGCCGAGTTGCGGAGAGAACTATGGGAGTCTAGTAGTCGAGCTTTCCAGCATCTGGGCGATGCCGGGACGTACATCAGCTCTGCCGAGGCCTTCGTGAGGCATAACGCCCACGACTGTATCTATCTGGATCACGAGAAAGATTTCC